AATAAACATTATCGAAAACACTGCAACCAAAACTAGTAGTAGTCTTTTTTTTTTTTTTTAACGCCTTTCAACGTTTGTAACATAAATAGCTAATAATGTTAATATACATTTCAAAAGACTATAAATCAGTGTTTCTCAACCGGTGTTCCGCGGCACACTTGTGTGCCGCAACTGGGGTGGTACATGCGAGTATGCAACATGCCTATAGTGTTATTAGGTGTTGATTTTTAATTACATAATATATTAATAATAAAAATAATAATTAAATTGAAATGTCTTTTTTGTTTGCTTTTTATTATTATGTTATTACTATAGTGTTCCGTAAAACTGTAGGTATAGTTATAAGAAATGCGCCGTGAGCATAAAAATATATAATAGCTGTAAAATCTATCTGTAGACCAAAAAAATTGGCTTAAAATGTTTGAAAAAGGTATTAGGAATTGATGATTTTCACATGGATATCGGGAAATTTAATTTCGTTTGAAACACTTCTACAAGAATAATATTAAATCTAAAATATAATTAACAATACTATATAGAACTATATACATTGTACAATAGTCTAGTCTATAAAATGGGTATATTTTTATTATTTCTTATTTGTTACAAAATAAAAATATTTTATACAAAAATGTAAATGCTATAAAATTTTAAAAGTTATTATTTAGAACATCAAATACGAAGTTATATTTATATTAACCATACACAATATCTATACAACAGAATTTCGTGTTAGAACTAATTCACGAGCTAATTTAGTATGTCAAAACAGTGAAAACAGTAAAAAAACTATAATATTATGTGTACGGGAACTAAACTGGAGAACTCCATCTGCTATAAGATATGATTCAATTGTACTATATTATTGAGTAGATCATAGTTTAATCCTTAAAAACTAGTTTTAAGCATAGATAATTAGGATTCAAACTCTATTTCATAAGATATTTATATTTCTATTAGTATTTTTTTTTATTAAAAATATGGTTGAATTAATTTTTGGAAAAAAATATTGCGCATACATTATATTAATTTAATATAATAGGTAAAATAATATATTATTATTTTCTTCTAATAAGAAAATTAATTTTAACTTCCAAAATGTTACCGTCATGATAGTATTAACTAGATTAAAAATGCTAATAAAAACCATGAAACAATAAAATACGTTATTTTAAATACATTTTTTTTTTACTATTCAGAAGAATGATGATCGAGTATCATAAATAATTCAATATTTATAACGTACATAAATATAAGTCAATTATATATATATATATTTATACATAACGTTAATTCATATTTTTTTTCTCGATTTTGGGTACTTAAAATTTGTTTCCAATTTTAGATTATTATTTATTAAACTTAACTGTTTCAATAAATATTAGATAAAAATATTACAGTAGGATTAACGTTGTGTTCAAACTCTGATAAAATTATACGGTATAAATTATTGTTCTCAAAATAATCATCATATACGTCATTGTCTATCTAATTTTCAAATTATATACTTTTTATAGTCATTACTTATTATTTACTAAAAAAGATAAACAATACAAATAAGCTACACAAATACTAAACTGTATAGCTATAGCTAATCACCAATATAAATATTATTTATGTTTAAACATTTTGTTCTTTATCGAAATAGAAAAAATAATAGTGAAAAATAAATACGAGCTACCTTTAAACTTAAATAGTAAAATTGTTCACACTTACATTCACCGAACACAAGTAGTTATTTTTGATTTTACTTAAAAGAAAAAAAAACCATAATTACTTTTATTCAGTTAAAACTAAATTGTTCATAAATCATAAATACATCGTTTTGATAAATTATGAAATAAATGATTGAATTATGTGTATAATTGTGATAACTTTCTCGAAAGCCTAAGCATAGATATCCTGTAATAAATTCACTATAGGTCAATTTTTTTTTTTTTGCTTGTTTATTTCTAAACAAGGTTTTAAAGCTGTATAACAATCGTGACAATTTTGTCGATATGGAGTTTAATTTAACGATACTAAAAGTTTGTTTTATTTGTATATATAAAGATTTACATAAAATATAATACGATTGAGATTTGAACGATGATGTTACCACTAATATACTTTTCTTATATATTATTGTTTACGTGAAAGACGAACTTAATAATTAGATAAGTGTTTTAAGAAACTAAATTATCAAATGTATTAATTAATAAATATTTAAAATTTCCTCATTACTTATATATAGATTTAAAATTAATCTACAATAACGATCATTATAATGAAACAGATTTACTTCATTATTGGGTATAACCTGGCGGTCCTGGTTAACAAAATGTATCATATTTCTATGATTTGCGATAAACTTGTACAATATGGTGACGTCATAATGATTTAATTTTACGTTCTAATGACATACAAATTTGTATGTAATAAAAAGGTTTCTTTTGAATTTTAAAAAAGGATTTAATGAGCCTAATATTGTGTTTGATTTAAGTGTACAATTACACTATAGAAAATTAAAGATCGTTATTACACAGCAGTATTATAATATTTTACTACCTACCACTGTATATGTACATTGTACATGTCATAACATGAGTATTAGAAATAAATTAATTTTATAATAAACAACAGGATGACAATAATTTAATAAGCTAAATATTCCTAATTTAAAAAAACACTGCAATGTTATTACGTTTTCTTTATTCTTCGATTTAGTCGGTTATACCATATTTATCCTTGTATGAATTTAAAATGACACAGTGAGATTTTTATTTAAAGGCAATACAATTTTGGCAGACAATAATCAAAGGTCTTGAATCTCTTATGAATGTGTTCAGTACCACTGACCAAAAACAAAATTTTTAAAACCATTTAGATACCTACACTGTACTTTTTACTATAGTTTTATCATTATTTGTTCCTGCTAATACTTATTGATATATTTTGCTACACATGACAATAGCTAGCAACTGTCTTTATTTTCCATCGAACGATGAAGCCATATTGGATCATATAACGTTTTCGAATTGTCATATGGGCATTAAAATATGCATAATTATGGCACCAAATGGGGTATAAGTTAAATTAAAAATAATTTGTATTCTGTTGCAAGAAACATCATTAGAAATTATTTTATTAGTTAAGAATCATTTTTATCAAAAGTTATAAAAAAAAATACTAAAAAAAATTAAAAATTTGTCATACCAATAAATATTTCAAAAAAAATCAAAATGTTATCATAATATGCATAGATATTTAAAATAATAATTTGGACATTGCAAGTACATACTTATCTTGTTATTTTTGGAAATATAACAAAATATTAAATATTTTTCGAGGAGAAATATTATTTTACTGATGAATATCTAAACATACACTCCATTTTTCACTCGCATTAATTTAATAATTAAGTAAGTATTAACTAATTGTGTGTCACTGGCTATATAGGTAGTTATGAAATTTTATCTATATGGACACAATTCAAAGATACTAAAATAATTAACTGAACTCAATTCAAACACATAAAACTAACGTGGACTCAATTCAATATCATCAATTTATTCGATAGACACGATCATTATCGATAAGTCGTTCATTTTTAATTTTTGGTCCAATGTAGACGACAAATTAACGTCCGAAGTCTACTTTTCACGAAAAATATATTAAAACCGTACCTAGAATGAGCCTCTCAAAGCTTTTATTGCCATTATATAATAGAACATCGGTCGATGATATAATTGTTTAATATATTATAACATGTAGGTACCTAAAACTATACATAATATATGGACTAGACCAATCAATAAGCGATTATAATATCATACATTGAATCAAAATAAGTTTTTACTAAATTATTTTTTCGACGTTGGTTAAATATATTATTATTATTATCGAACATATCCAGGCAATGCCTGATCACACAGCAAATGTTATTTATTTAATAGCCTATAAGTTACTTCTGTAATCGTAAGAAACAATTAAAACATTTAACTTAAATCTATCCAATAATTTTCAAGTTAAATCTAATCGAACATACACTCAGATAGTTATACATATTAGTAAAATATTATAAATATGTACTTAAAATCTTAAACACGTTTTTCTTATATTAATCGGATAATGTGATAATTCGATAATCCTCTATAATACCTAGTCTGCACTATAAAAATGTTTCGTAAACAAAAGGTCAAATAAAAAAAAAAATCAGCTTCATAATAATATGACGCGTTATAACTTTATATTTACTATGCATTTAGCTTAGAGGGAAGCGAACGCTCTGGGACTCAGTCCCACTACCTCTGAACCAGATTAAAATGCGTCCCATTTATCATTTACATTAATAGGTTTGTCGAAACATAACGTTGTTTTTCTTTCAAAAATACATTTTTATCATATTACCAAGAAATACATAATATTTTATCGAAAATGGTCGGATCAAAATGATTTCTGCGATAAGAACAATATGGTTAATAAGTATTTTGGATTATTTCATCATCATTTTCTGTTTTAAAAACCAATGTAAACAGAATAATGATACTTTAATGAACAAATTGCGTTTGAATTTACATAACGTCAACGATTTAAACATTAAAACAGTTTTTAGACAATTTAATATGTTTTTCATTTGGTTACTCTTGATATACCTACTATTAATGTTAACAAATAACATATTATGTTTGTTAACACGCGTTCAATTATTTTATAATATACTTTAATAAAATAAAATACGGGCGTATCGTATTTATAGGTATTAAAGGAAATACATAATATTTAGTACCATTAATGATGTTCGTTAATAGGAGGTGGCGCCAGAGAAGATGAGAGCCTACAGGCTCCAAATGTCTGAATCCAGTACTACCTTGCAATGCACATTATGATATCGTTTTATCATTTAAACGGTAATTATTAAATAATATAGCGGTAAGTACCCGTTACTATAATAGTGCTATATAATTATACTATCATTATCATTATTATTATTATTATTATTATTATTTGATAACACTGACCTTTTGCTTCGGTTTGGTTTGGCCGTACGCCTCCGCTGCCGCTACCGCCGCAGCTTCATCGTCCTCGTTGCCGCTGAACGTACTGCACGTGCTACATCCGGATATCTTTCGCTCGGGCGTGTGCAGCAAATAGTCCGCGTCCAGCACGCTGATGACGCTGCCCGAGGCGCTCCACGTGCTCGCCGCGCTACAGTCAGACGACGAGTCGTTGAACCCGCAGTCGGCGGACGGCCTGTACTCGAGTTCGCCGAGATCGTCCAGCGTGAACATGGACGAAAAGGACACCGGGTCCTCGGAATGGTCGCTGACCACCACGGACGGGGTCCGGAACTGCCGCCCGCCGCCATTGACCGGGGCAGCGCTGTCGGGTGAATCGCACCCGTTGAACACCACCGTGCCGGCGTCGCCGTCCGCGTTGTTGCTGAACGACCGGTACAGCGCCGGTTGATGGAGCATCCGGCTCCCGTAGTCCCGGCGGTGGTGGAGGTGGTGGTCTTGGTGATGGTGTGTCGTCTCGTATCCCTGGTCCAGACTGTGACCCTTACGACACAGGCCGCCGGTCTCGTCGCCAGGGCCCTGCCATCCCACGGGTCCCGTCCACGACTTGCGCCGCTTTCGCTTCACCTTGGTCTTGCTGACCTGCAGCCGGCTGACCACCACCTGCAGTTGCGACCGCATATTTTCCGCGCCGCCGCCGTCTGAGTTCGTCGTCAGCTTGTCGTCTTCGTCGCTACCTGTACATAGATACATATGCGTTCAAACGACGATTCTTCATCAGAATATCGTATTATAAAAATATATCGCGCAACACGTACAAATACACAACAATCGAAATGACAGTAAACGATCGTTATTTGTACGGTCCATCGTTAAAACGTACGAAACGCGGACACTTTGTACGGACCGAGTAAAAAAAAAAAAAAAAAACAATATACATCGCAGAACACTATTATAGTTCTATGAAAATATTTATTAAACCATTAAATTAATGAAACTTCTGATAACGCGGTTGTGGTAAACGGTGCGTAACACTACCGCAATCGAAAATATAATTATTACCGCATTTGTAACCGTAATTGTAGGTTTTTATAAGAATTTTAATATTCATAGCGGTACATGCTCGTATTCGTAGTATTAAGTACTGTGTATTTATACTTTCCAAGGGTGTTACGTTGGTTGGCAGCAATGTGTTGTGAAATAATAATTAAAACAGCGGCGGGGAGTTACAGAGAGGGTTTCAATGTTTACATTAATTCACTGGAATTTACTTTTAATTCGTTTACGACAGTTGTGGTCTATACTTTGCGACTTACATTACTACTTGATTATATAACTATCGCTATTGCGGACAACACTAAATTCTTTAACGAAAAAAAACGTAATCAAGTATTGAAAAAAACAGTGTTTTATCATTATCAGTTCAAGTATTGATTTCGAAAATTTCGGTTAATCACTTAGCTTTTCCACTATCGATTTACGTACAAAGATAAACATACGTTGTGTGCCTAATGTATATAACATAAACAAGTCATAATAAATAATATAATTTGGTCAATGTATTATAAAATGGACAAAAATCATCTTTGACAAGTATTTTCATGAAAATTTAGTCGACATTGCATAGAACTTTATAACATTTTCAACATAATTTAACTTAACTTGAAGACTTATTTATACTAAATATATTTTATACTATGTAAGTTAATATGTATATACTAACAGTGATATATACAACAATCTTCTTAAAAAATTGTTAAAAAAATAAGACATACTAAATATTTAAATACTATCAATTATCAAGTATCAAGTATGTACCTACAAATAAAACATAATAATTATAAAAAAAATAATACTGAATTAGTATGTATCGTTGACTATAAATACCGTATCGATTAAAATCATTTTCAGATAAAAATTGTTCTCCGTAGCCCGTTTAGATTAAATGTTTAGCGGTCACCTTAACACTTCAAAAATATTACTATTGAAATTTCTGTTTGATTTTGTGTAGTACGTAAATGAAATACAAAGTATAGAACTGACTAGCAGTACAGCATTACATTTCCTCATCTAATTTACATTACATGATACTGACAATATAATAACACCGATTGTTTTATGCTATCTTACAATTCTCGATTTGAAACTTAGTGCATTTTTGAATTTCGACAGTGTTTTTCATAAAAATATTGTGAATGTTGAAATATTAATGCAGTCAATCTGTGATCTGTAGTAACTGCATCGATCGCAGAATAACTTTTGTGGTGTTATAATTTATATTAGCGCTTTATTATATATTTCATTATTTGTTATCTTCATTAAAATGAACAAATAATTAAAGAACAACATTTAAAATAAATAAAATTGTCAAAATATTAAAATGAAAAATGAATATACATTTATAGTTTTAAAAAATATAAATGTTTAAATATTTAAACTTCTACTATAATAGTAAAATAAATAATAAAATATAAAATTACTATAAAAACCACATATAATTCAAAACAATTAAATTTTTTACATTGTTTTTTATTCTCCACCCCAAAAAAATCTTAATACGCTAATGTATTGATCTATGTAGCCGTGTTCTGAAATGTTTATTTTTATACAAATTTTACATGTTTCACATTTTTAATGTTTGGCCATACAAATAGTATCCTAAACCCCAAAATGACAACTCTGTGGTGTATTTAGGAATTTGGCACTATAAGTACTAAACACAATGAAGTAGCGTCCCTTTTCCATTAATATTAATTAACAACATAGACATGATTATAAAGTGCTAGGTGACGTGGTATTCCACAATTTCATAAATAATTTGTCAAATCTTAACGCCCCATAACGGGTCTTCTCATAAATGTATTTATAAGACTCAAGTCGCTAAACATCTTAATTTTGATACTCGATGCTTTCTAATATTATGTTTTAACGAACATTTTAATAATTTACATCAAGTATTAAAATAATAAACGTAGATAACGCATGATAAAAATAAAAATGCATCATTGTAATTAAGTTATTTAAATCTTAAGTACCGGCATATATTTATAAGACATACATTTTGAATTAACTTATTATGATAATATTATTGTATGTACCACGTGGACTCAAATGTAGGTACTTAAACTCATGCAACTACCGATACGATTTTTGGGCAAATTTAAATCTGTTGCTGTAACTACCATGGGTCAAAACTGCATTGTCTACATTAGTCTTTATAATATGTCTGTCAAACCAAATGTAAAAATAAAACGTAAACAATACGAAAGTAATATATGACTCCTAACAAACCAATTTCCCCTCGTAACGCGTACTTTTCACCTCAAATATCTAAGACTTACACTAAAAGAAAGGTCATTTTTCGTAACTTTTCCATAAATTACTATCCGATACGTACCCATATACGGATAGATTAATATACATATTATGTATATTATTTCTTCGATCCTGTATAATAAAATAAGACGGCACTAATAATATGAAAATTAACTAAATACTATATTTTATGGTTATTAATCAGTATACATTTTAAATTATAATAATATACTAACGCGAAAATTTTAGTTTATTACAACACAATTAATATTATATATAATATTGTTTTCTTTAGTTATTGATTTTTTTTTTTAAAACATACACATAAACTGCTTATTTTAATCAAATAATTAAAAATAACATTATTTTGTACATGAATCGTCTTATTTGCAAACCCCTCAAGGGTTTTAATCAATTCAGATAGGAAACTATAGGCACTCTTCTATATAAAACTAAATAATGTTATAAGCGTTGTTGTTTAGGGCATTTGTGCAAATATATATTTTGTCTTGACGTGCAAAAATAAGCTCAACAACCTATTTATTTTTTAATAGCAGATATTTTAACAATCGCAAAAAATAAAATAGATAGTATTTTAAATTATTTTGGATACAATCACCCACATAATTTTACCCCAGAAAGTTCTTCGATCATCTTTATGTAGTGTGTACCTACGTGTAAATTATTATAGCTATCATCAGTTTAAACATGTATTTTTACAAATAGCCCACATTAGTTGCAACAATGACGTTTCAGTACAGTCACGTATAAAGTATTCGAGTTCCAATTAATTTCAACGCTTTCGAAATACTGTCAAACCGTACCTACCTACTTGAATACATCCGAATACCTACTTTTGATCTTTATAATCATTCTAATCATTATCAAACATGTATGTAATATTATGTAAAAGTGTGAAAAAAATATAAGCTATAGAATAAATAAAAATAATAATTAATAACCATTATTCATTACACATATTATAATTTAATTATGTTAAAGTTTATTTACAAATATAGTTAAGATTATTTAACAGAATTACAATAGTATAATACAACATCAAATAGTAAAATTTTATATTTTAAAAATAATAAAAAAATGGTATTGCAATAATTTATAAGACATATTCTAAAAGGGAATATGAAAAAGATGTCACAGGAAATAATATTTCCTGTCTAATGCACAATACATATATTATACTCTTTTATCCTTAAAGATGAAAGAAATTGTATGCATTATAAAAAAACTACATGGTTGAATAACATCTTTATTTGTCCCCAAAAAATAAGTGCCAATCTTAAATGTTAAAAAGCTACTGGGAATTTTAATAATATTATAGTAACATTTGACAAATAAAAAAGAACAAAAATGTATAATCAAACAAATGTTGATAGGCATTTGAAACCCAATCAAAATATTTAAAAATAGTATAAATAAAATAATTATCGAATCAAAATATTCAAAACTTATGTCTTATTCATAATATATAAATAAAAAATGGCATGAATAGTTAACTTTATAATTGATTTATATCAAGGTTACAAAAAAGAAGTTTTTCAAATTTTAAAGCATTTAATTTGAAAACCTTTGAAAAAAAAATTAATATTAGTTTTATTTACAGGTAAAATATTTTGTTATTTAAATTTAGACTTCCATTTCAATAATATCAATATAATATAAATCTAAAAATTATTCAATATCGAAAGTTAAATAATTAAGAATGATAGTCTATGGGTGTATACTGTACAGTGGTAGAATTATAATATTAAATATTTAATAAATTCCGTAAACAATTGAAAAATAAACATATTTAAAAAAAAATTTTAATCAACTTGAATTTTGTTTATTTATTAATTGTATCAACACGTTTTAGAGCACATGTTGACATTGTTAGATTCCAGAACTGATTACCATTTTTAATTTAAAATTTAAACGAATTTTACATTAGCAACATTAGTAGTGGATAAGACTCGCAAACATTTATTTTTATCCAAGGAATTAAAAACACTCATACATACTAATACATTTTTATGAAATATGTATTGTATATTATATAGTAAGTAATACATTATCGTTTGTTTTCGTAATTTCTTAAAATTATAGTTTAAGTATGAACAAAAAAAAAAAATTAATTTTCTTCAAGAACCAAACAAATCGTACATGGAGTATAATATAGAAAATAATATATAGTTAAACATAAAGTACATTTCAACATTTAACATACAATATCATTTTTATCATAATATTTATGTGTTTTAAAATATTTAAGCCAACCTGTTTAAAAAAAAAAAAAAGTATTATAATTGAAATTTTAAAATCTAACCAACCACGATAATATTGTTGAACATATAATAAGATTTTATAGCTTTTAATTTTGAATTTAATCGAATCATAACAAACATTAATATATTCATTGGAAAAT